CATTTATAGACAAATAGGTACTCTGGCATGTGATGTGCCTCTTTTACAGACGTTTATCAGAAAGACAACCTCAATAAGTGCTCCTGCTGATTCTCACTGATCGTAGTCATAGCTGCCGTACAGCAGAGAACACAGCAGGAAAATGCTTAACAGTAAAGAGTGCAGAGGCCAGCATGCCTGGCAATAGAGAATCCTTCAGAGGCAAGGAGAGAAACTCAGGAAGGAGATTTGGTGTTATAGAAAGGCCTTGGACTGCATGTTTCACTCAGGGAAAAGGATGAATTGATGTTCTGATAAATCGCACTGCTGTATTGATGTATGTGCTTGTGTTTTAATGTGTATAAGCGAGTTAAGGTGTGTGTGCGCATTCTTGAATATGTACCTGTAAGATTTCCAGTGCATACATATGCATGCATCTATGGGTTTGTCTGCTGTGTAAGTGAGACTCACATGCGAGTCGGTGGTGAGACAAAGAGGAGAGATCATCTCAGAGCACTGATGGACTAAAGTGGAAAGTCATGCTGAGGAGGAGATGTGTGCCTGATAAATAATGGGTGTCGGTGCCCAGTGGAGACCAGTAGTGGAGGAGTGGAGGTGGCTAAAGGTCTGATGGGGGAGCTCACCTCCATCTGTGATTGAAGTGTGGAGGTGCTGCTCCCTACACACTTACTTTCACACTCATTTTCTACTCAACCATAGGTGCAGTAAACAGACACAACAAATCCCCAAGTACTCGGTCCTGCTCTTGCAACCCCGGCTTTTCCTGTAAGAATCCAACGCATGGGAATGTCTGCATTTCGCCCTCTTATGACAGACCTTGATTAGCAGTACAGACCCTCTTAATCACACAAACATATACATGTCTCACACACAGTCCTCTGGTGGGTTACGCACAGCAGAGGCAGTTAACTGGTTGTGTCTTGTGTGAGTTGCACCCCATGGCCTGTATGTTTTAAATACTTGTTTGTGTTCTTTGCTGTATTAAGTTCAACTATGTTATTATCATCACGAGGTGAACAGAAGCTCCAGTGTGTGTCCTCTTGATCTTAGATATACTCTGTATAAAAGACCCGGGTGTGTTTAGAGAGAGTCAATGTGCTTATGTGTAATCAAGATGTTATTTCTCATTGAAACAGTCTGTAATTTCATAATAATTCCTGTACTTCTACGCTGTTTAAGATTCAATTTTTTTTTTAGAAATATCACTGAGTAAAAATTATCTTCAAAAAAAGTTATGTATTTATGGGTCAAGAGCCAAATGTGTTTCTATGTAAAACTTAAAGGAGCAGTGTGTATGATTCACAGGATTTAGTGGCATCTAGTGGTGAGGATTGCAGATTACAACGAACTGAAACTCCTCCTGTGTGCCAAGAGTGAGCTCCCAATTAGGATTCTGTCAGTGTTCACTGTTCAGGAGGGGTTTTTTTTTTTTTTTTGGGGAGCAGAATTATCTGCAGAAGTCTCTTTATCTCGCTAACCCAGCACCTGCTAATTTGTGCTCACTTTTTTTCCCGATAACTCGAGATCCAGACATTCAGGAGGTTTTTACCATAAGCCGAATTATCCCCAGAGATTTCTTCCTTTCCAAAACAAATGGAGACGTTAATTTAAGCTAGTAAACACACTGAATAAAGCAGTTTCATGTTATAAATCTGTATTTTTCTGATGCTGTTCGGCTCAAATCTAATGGTCCTGTCTATAGCCAGTGTTTGGTTTGTCTGTTCTGGGCTACTGTAGGAACATGGAGGTGCAACATGGTGGACTCTTTGGCCCAGGACCTGCTCCCTGGGTAGCTTTAAACAGCTCATTATAAGGTAACAAAAACACAACAGTTGTTATTTTCAGGTGATTATACACCAAACAAAACATACTTATTATGTTATGTTCCATTTCTGCCAATAAATCCCCTTTAATCCTAAACACTGGACCGTTAAAATCAGCCTCTACTCTAAATTCTGTTGGTATTGTAAATTAAGTACAGGCAACAAGAAAAAGTTAGAAGATTAGAGAGACTTCTCAAAACAGGACCAAATGTGTTAATTAACTGGCAGAAAACAAATCACATAAAAAACGCTTCAGTTCACAAAGCGAGAAGCCGGTGTCTGAGCAAAGGTTCAACACCCTGAATGAGAGTTCCTAATGAGAGTCAATGATATTTACTGAAGATATAACTCTTTCTACCACTTAGATGAGCAGAGAAAGGGTGTAGAGAACATACAAGGAAATTTTTGTAGAGCGTCCTTCATCCATGCCTCTACTGACTATGAATCCTAGTTCGCAAACAGTCAGGCGTTACAACTGCTACAGTTTGACGCCTGTTATTAAAGACCCTTTCCCTTGGGACAAAAGAACCCTCCTAACATCCACTAACATCTGACTTTTGTCTTTAGTGGGAAAGGTTACAAGCGGCATTCATTCCCGGGACAAATGACTCGGCAGTAGTCTTGGTAGGTATGGAAATATGACACCTGGGTGGACCATAGACTGTATATAAAGATGGACAACACAGCTCCACTCACTTCCACTGTACAAAAACTAAGCCAAAATATTCTAGGTACAGCTGCTGCCATCCTGCACTGGTGGTGTCATTTGGAGTCAAAGTCTGTGCAGTAGCAATCTCTAGGAATCGAGTTCCTGCCTATACACCCGTCTGACTAGTCATGAGCAGCACCATTGATTGTGAGCACGCTGACTGGCACATAAAGCTGTCAATCATGATGTCAAACCCCTTTTTATAGCATCAAAAAACTAATTGAGCAATGTGATAAGTACTACCTAAATGACATAAACCATCTATAGTTAAAAATCTATTTCACGTGTACTTTGATCTTTTAGTTTGGCGCATGTCCCGTCTACTAACATGGCAAGGCAAGGTTTATAAGCTGTACTGCAGCCAGCCACCAGGGGGTGATCTTGATGTTTTGGCTTCACTTTGGAGGAGCTGTTGTGTCATCCATCTTTATTATACAATCTGGAAACGCTAATTTTTGCCCCTTTTACAACATGATGTTACGTTTTGTGCAACTCGTTGTCATCTCAGCCACAAATTCCATCTGTCTCCATCCAAACAGCACTTGAACATGGTTCCAAATTAGTTGGCACTGAGTTTGAAAGAGAGACTGATTAAGTAACAGATTTTGGAAATAAAGTAATCACAGTCACATTTTCACTGGCTTTCATGTTGCTTTCTACTGTTTACTAATCCTTTTTCCTGGTGTGTTTGTGACATTAAATTTGACACACCAAAAAAAAAAAAAAAAGCATACTCATCTTCCAGGAATGGGAAAGCAGTCTATCACCTATTTTTAACAGGATTTCCAGCATTTAAAAAACTCGCATTTATGCATTAATTTTGGTGAATATTTCAGTGTTTGTTGTGTTTCATCCAACTTTACCATCTTTGTTGGCACATTGCTGTGTTTTTTGAGACATAACCACTACCCATCAACCAGTGGAACAGTTGGTATTGATGATGCCCATGGTCTTTGTGACAGAGCCCACTTCGTTGGACAAAGCTGACCAAGAGGGTGATGTCAGTGGTGTCAGATGATAGTGATCCCAACAAAACAGGAAAGCTTGTGTATTTAGTTGCAGAAATATTCATCGTAGTGCGGATTCAAGTCTCTATGTAGTATGTGTGCTTTGTGATGATTATGAATGATTCACAGCAGCTTTTACAACAGTATAGAGCCTTTAAATATGAGTAGAACCAGGGACCTAATGTTTCCCAGTGCCCAAGAAAGGAGGTGAGTGCCCATCCCCAGGCAGGCCCTCGGCATGTAAAGTCCATACCCACAGCAGTGACTAATTGTTTGTTATGTCAGTGCTTGTCGTGCCCGTTTGCCTTTAATGGAGTGTAGTGTGGTGATCCATCAGGCTGTCGAGCAAGCCCCATGTCAGTTGAAGTGGCTGTGTGTCAGTGGGGCGAGCGTGCCGTGCAGATGTGATTTACTGCCCTGCTTGTTGCGCTGCGTTGTGCCTCGCCTCTTACCCACGCAATGCAGCCCACTCCTCTCCTCTACTCGTCTCCCCTTTCCTCTCGTCTCTCCGTCAGATTGATTACCAGCGCAACTGGCTCATGACACTCGCCATCTTCTGGCAACCTTTTAGTGCCGTTTTATAGATGGTTAGCGCACCTCATTTGGCTATTTATACATCTGTAAGTGGCCATGAAATATAGATTTGTCTTGATGGGTGTCAACATTGGAGCTATGGAAGCAGAGCTCAGTGACACCTCGTTATTTTAATGGTGTGAGATAGAGTGGCCACATGGCAGGAGTAATTTTCAAACATGGCTAAATTATACTGTTTTTATTTTAATTTAATGTTTGCGCTCATATTTTACTCAAAGCTAAACACCTTTTTTCTTGCAGTGTTCGGTTGGTGCTGAGAGATGGAAATATGGAGAGAAGTGACTGAGGATGGAGGGGAACACCCTGCTCTCCTCACACACACCCAAACACACACACATATACTCCAAACCACATATTCTGTGTGAATGCCGAGGTGGTTCAGAGTGAGAAGAACCCTTAACAGTAACATGATGTGTGGCCTGTCATCCACACACACACGACGCACATCTTTCACTCCATTCACAGGCAAGGTCTCAGAGGTAATTAGGTGCTGGCACCCACTCAGTGCGATGTGCTGGTTAATTGAATAGTTAACACATCAGAGGCAGGCCTGTGCAGATTGGAGGTGACACCTGTCAGGAAGCTGTTCTCTCCCGACCCAGGACATTTCCTGCTCTGCCTGATACATATGTCATCTTTGTGGAAATACCAAATTAGGGGCAGGCAGCCGAGTGAGTGCAGTGCAGCAGGTGTGGAGATAGCTTGGGGGTGGAGGAAGGCAGACGCTCCTCTGCTCTGTCCTTCAGGAGGATTTGTAAAGCTCCGGGCACCTATCCTTACTTCACCTCGGGCCATTTTCATGGCTATGTGACAGGAAAGTGACAGCACCATGTGTTTGTGTGTGCGTGTGTGTGCTTGCTTCACCAGGCTCTCCCCCAGGCCCCGCAGCAGTGTGCCCAAGGCATCCCAGAGTTGAGTATGCACCGTGCAGAGGTGTGTCAGCTGAGTAGAGGTGTCCAGACTCAACCAGCTCAAAGACGGATGTCAGACAGGCAGACTGGCATTTGCAACAAAAAAAAGGAGTTGATCAAATGATACTTTTTATCTCCACATACGTAAAAGTGTGTAAGGTAACATATGTGTCCTGACTGAGTGTTTGCATTCTTGTCTTTAGGTGTTGCACCTTTAGGAGGCAGGGGATCGGCTGCAGGCTGAGGTCCTGTCAGAGGCCGGTGCAGTCAGCAGGAGATAACAGCTCGAGAGTAGAGGGTTACCACGCTGGAGCGAGACCTGTAGGCTGCTCACAGCCAAACCACTGAAAGGAAGCAGGTACAAGCTGGGAGAGACACTCATGATACTCATGTTACAGTTAGAATCCATTAGCCTACATGTGAATTGAGCAATTAAACTCACATAGGTACAGCCTCACACACTGTACTCATTATGTTTTCTCACATTCACAGCAGGGCAGAGAAGTGATGGACTACTGTAGTGGGCAGAGATGGATCTGTGGAAAACACAGGAAGCTCTGTAGAGAGGGGCTGTGGAGGCACAGCAGCAAGCAGCTGGAGGTCCACAGCCGGATGGCAGCGCTCCACTGGTACAACACAGAAGGACCCAGCATGGCCTCCCCTCAGCTAAGCTGCAGCACTGTACACAAGAGCACAAGGAAGACTAAGACCACTGCAAAGACTCAGGTATGAAAAAACAGTGCAGCTGGTCTCTACCTGACTGAGAAAGTGTTGTCATACAGTTCTCAGGGCTTTGTGGGAAAATTGCAATAGTTAGAGACAGTGTGTCTGCGGGTCCAGCTCATCACTTGTTTCACACATCACACTTCATCCCTTTGTTCTGCCTCTGCTGTCATTCTTCACTGTCAGATGGGGCAGGAATGTCTTGAATCTCCTGAGAGTCTTTCAGAGAGAAAGTTGCCAGACACTTTTTTTTAACTCCACTGTCAGCTTTTTATCAGTCTCTCTGTTTTGCTCGTGTCTTTAAGAAGAGGCTATTGAAATTACAAAATGAAGAAATAAAAAAGATGCTGAAACAAAGAGAGAATGATTGAAATGGCATAAGTCAGGGAGAGCGAGATAAAGAAGGGGGAGTGACAGTGACAGGCTTTCGTGTCAGGTCAGCTAGCCTCCGGTGCTGGCTTTAATATATTGCGTGAGACAGTCACCTGGGTGTGTGATGTGGCAGCTGCCTCAGCCACTCACCTGCACGGAAATGGCCCATCAATTCACAGCCCAAGGCCTTTTGTGTGATACACACCACTAATCTACACAACATACCCACTCACAAAAACCCACTTCCATTCAACATGGAAACAATTCACCATGCATATCAAAAGAGTCTTAACATATGAATACACATTGAAAAAAGGTCTGCAAAAAAAAGTAAATACAGCGAAAGAAAGTGAAGTCCCAGTCAGACAAAATGCTCCTAACAGTACCTGGCAGGAGACTCTATAAAACTCTGCACACTTGTTAACACTTGCAGCAGCTACTTTTTAAAGTGTCATGCAGGAAAGCAGTGCTGCAGAGACAAATGTGTCTTTAGGTTGTGTGTCTGTGTGAGGGTGCATACACATTTGTTTTTGTATATGTTTCATTTAAGATGCCTGTTTTTTGTGCATATATCAGCCCAGGAACAGTCAGGAGGGAGGACTTTGTTGTCAGCAGGTGGGCATCAGACTGAGCATCTACTGCGGTGATTCCCAAACACGAGTACTTGTTTACTTGTAATTGTTATGTAGCTCAACTAATGTGACAAAACCTAAATAAAAATTTGACTATAGAATAAATAGTATATGCACCTATATACTGAGTCAACTTTAACTTGAATAAATGTTTTGAAATAGAGGGTGTGTGAAAAGTAGTGAGCAAGTGCAAAGATACATCTAAACATTCAGATAGATATAATGTGTAAATGCTGTAAAAAGTAGCTAAAAATAATGAATATACAGTTCAGATAGTTAGCTGTTTAAAGTAATGGGTAAATGACTGAAAGAGTTAGCGAACAGTAATGAATATGCAGTTGAAATAGTTACAGGGTTCCTACAGATCTTTAAAAAGGTATTGAATTCAATCTTTCAATTGTCTTAAAAATACATGGGAAGCAGGCTTTTATGATTTTTTTTATGTTCAGTTGTGAAGTCTCAAAATATTAAAAAACTTTTTTTTTTTTTTTTTTAAGTAATTCACCACAAGCATCTCGCATGAACGTCACACAGATTGCGAAACCAACCACACTCATATTTTCTTCCCGGCCTGGATACCCAGAACAGATTATCCATTGTGTGGTAGCTAGCTGTCACTGTACCCTTAAGTCACTGAAAACTGGCTATTTAACAGAGATTTTGTGGCATGGCTGAAACCAGCACAATGTAATGCCCGTGAGGCTTTGTGTATTTTATGCAAGTTTTTCACACTCTTCACAGTAGGAATCGGGGCAGTGGATTACCACATACAGAGTGAGAAACAAGCACCAAGAAAACTCGCCAACATACACCATATATTTCCCAAGTTTGTTCTACCTTTGTCTCCACCGTGCATCCACCCCCATCTCCGACACCAGCACCAGGGCCAGCAGCAACAGATCTCTGAGCAACATTCAGGTGTACGCCCACACATGGTTTGGGAGTTATGGAATACAAATAAATATGTACTGTATTATACTGTATGTATTATGTTCTAAAAATACAAAATAAGAGCAACTGTATTCAGTTACCCTTACACTTTGAATTGGTGGTATTCTTAATACAGTTACTGTTTAAAGATAGATTACTTGAAGGGATTACTTTGTTTTATTTGTGTTAACACCGTGTCCTAACTGAATGCAGCGTGAGTAAGCGTCAGTTTGATTGCATTGTTTTCTATTGGAATGTTGTAACTGGTCGTCAGAGATGCAGCACTGCCTTTTTGAGCTGAACTTTTGTTGGACGTGCTGTGTCTATTCATTCCTGTCTCTCACTTTAAAGGGGGGTGCAATGGGTAAAGAACAGCTGATTGATGAAGTTGAAATGAGGAGTTATCTACACAGCATCTCCTCATTTCACTACAAAAACCTATAAGGTGGCAGCAGGCTGGAGGGAGATCAGCAGGGAACTGAGAGTTTTTGGTAAATGACCTTTGCTGTTGGCTATATTGTCCATCATTTCCAGTAAATATTACAATATAGAGTGTGTGTTATCTGTTTAAAAAGTACAAAAGTAGGAAGATAGATTTGTCCATCTTTTATATGGTTACATAGTTGAGTGAATAGCTGACAGGTAGCTTATGTGGTTTGTTTACATGACCTGACAGAAGTGAATATTTGATGGATTCAGTGTGGACAGAGAGCAACACTCGCTTGCCGTTAGGACAGGGTGTAAAATTCATATGAGGCATGCATTTCCCATAAAGAGATTTTTAAAATAGATGGTGCATTGCAGCTGCAACAGTGGCAAAGGAGATGCACATGAAAATATAAGACCCAGACAAATGAGCTCAGCAAGGTGATTTCCAAAAGCAATCCAAAGTATTTAAAATATGCTACTTAGTTTGAGTAATCTAATGGAATACATTACAAATGACATTTTAGGGCATGTATTCAGTAATCTGTAGTGGAATACAAAGTCAAGGGAAAAGAAAAACTAGTCCACGCAATGATTCCCCAGATTCGTAATATGTTGGTTTATGTGTTGTTTTTTTTCTTTGGTTTTGGTTATTGTAAAATTGGTCTTAAATTTCATTATGAATGGCATTAATAAAGTCTAAAAAGCCTTAAATCTAGCTTGCTGTATGCTGTAGTTGTAGGAATCCTGTAGTTAAAAGTAAAAGTAAAAAGTAATGGCTAAATGTTTGAAATAGCTTAACATCCAACTTCTGCCAGTATCAGTACAAGCGCAGACGTGACCAAATTAACCTAAACTTTGACAGTTTACTTGTATGAAGAAAATACTGTAACAATATTGTAAACTATCGACTGAATAATATCCAGTAAATGATAAATTCAAATGAACACATTTGAAAAACCTGACAGGTGTTGTTGATGGAGGCATACTTGAGTTCATCTGATACAGGTGTGGAGGTACGTCTTGAAGAAAAGGTTGAGAACCACTGATCTACAGAGCAGTAACTGCAAAGCTACAGGTGTACTATATTCGCTTTAGTGTTCAGAGATTGAACCTGAAATATTTGCATTTCTCAGAGCCGTTTTGATATGATCGATCATGAGACTGCGTTTAATTTTTATCTTATGTTATCTTATGTTATCCACAGTAACTGTAAAGGCTTTACACCACTGTGCTAACAGACACAACTAGTGGCTAACAGATGCTTTAGCACCGTGACTCTCTGTCTCCTGTATCCTCGCCATCCCACCCATCCCATTCCTCCCATTCCTCCCATTCCTCACTATCCATCTGAGCTGTGTGTGGGCCAGGCGCTCAATAGGCGGATCATTTCAGGTCGGGGCCCTCGTGTGAAATCAGATGTTTAACTGGCCAGCTGAAGTGGGACGGGAGCATCTTAACCAGCACCTTGCCAAAGGTCTCATGTTCACTCAGCCACTGGGGCTGCTGTGAGTACGCCCGCCACCTGCCAATAGGCATTAGGGAGGATTTAGTAATTAAGTGATAGGCTGAGGACTAAATTGGGTGTTTGTGGGCTGGAGAGCCACCCCAAGGTCCCTACAGCCATGCAGATAGGGGATTCTAATTGCCAGGAATATTGATCAGCCTAGCGAGGGGGGTGCACAGGGAATTCACTAGCCATCGATTAGCTGTTACTGCACCTCACTTGTCAATGGAGGAGGGAGGTGAGCATTGGAAAGGCTCCGGGCTTTTCCCACAGTATCCCTCACCACCAACAGCAGCTCCTGACACACATATGCAGTCAGAGTCGGTGACACAGCATGTTGGGATGAAAGCGCTCTCCAAACTTCCCTGTACCTCCTCCTCCATAACTGTGAACCAACTTTATTCTCTCCGAGGCGGTCCAGAGGTGAAACTGGGAGCAGACAAGAGGGCTCACCAGCAGTGTTTTTATGTACTGATAAAGTGTGACCCGCCACCCAGACCCATCTTTCCCTCTACTCTGTGCCCTTTCTTTTTCCATACAGCTTGCCTCCCTGAGTTTGTAAGGGCTCTGACCCGTGGCTGTGGTCCTGGTTTATGTTGGAGGGAGAGAGGGGACTGAGCCTGCCTGCCCTCTGATATTTAATTAGTTGCTTCACCTGGCAGTAAATAGGCTCTGGTCAGCGCACACACACACACACACACACACACACACACACACACACACACTCACTTCTCTCATTCTAGTTCTATGACTTATGCTCCAGTGACATGTCACTATCACAAAACAGCGTGCCGTACAAAACAACACTGTGCATGCAGAATTACTAAACATCCTTTCATTAAATGTTAAAGCTCTGCCTGGTCAGATTGAATCTGTCACACATGCACACGTTGGCGTCTATTGATTTAGTTGCATGCATGACATACTTACAGAACTTTAATTTCCTGCGACTGGGTTGAATAGAGAAGCAATCAATCAGGAGATGTGTTGGAAAAGGATTATTAATAAGTTGAATATAGCCAGTTGAATTTACACTGAGTGTACTTTAGTTTAATTTTGGTAGTTTTTCAGAAAAATACATTTGTTTTCTACAATGTTCACTTTTGTGGTAGCCCAAATGAATTGTTTCATAGTTT